TGATCGTCGGGCCATGAGTGTCCCATAGTGAGAGCAGTCTGCCACCGTTCGCGTTCGCTGAATCAATGCCATTTGAACCGATAACATCTGTCCACACCGATGCATCACGCCCAACGCGCGTTGAAATCACCTAGTAGGAGTAGTCGGTCGCCCTCAGCACAGACTGTATCACGGAGGATTGCTGACCGTAGAATTGATCATACGTGTTATCAGGATAACACATGGCCGGACCGTCCGTGCTTATAAAGGTGGCAAACTTACCTCTTCCGAATCGTAGACCAACAGTCATCTGTCGCTCCCGGTTTTTCTCGCTGTGCACCCACCCCCGGTTCCAATGAACCATTTTATCAGTTTACGCACATAGCGGCCGTTGGCGGGCCGCATGCCTTCGTTGTCACTGATATATCTTCGAACATTTTCTGCACCGTTTGAGCCGCACTCATTATACAGTCGAAGAATAAGCACGCGCTGATCATGAGCCACGTAACGTGGTTCAGCTTGGAGCACTGGAACAATGGTATAATACTTATTTAAAAGTCGAAACTTGACAGGTCCCGTATGATGGTTTGTGTCTATTGCGTAACTTCGGAAAACATGCTACACTGCAGTGGAACGCGCATCTGTGGACTCACCATATTATCCACGTTAACACAAAATTATATCCCATTACCCCGATTCCTTGGCAGTTGGTAAGCACCCTGTTTAACTGCGCCATGTCGCCACTCAGTAGCCAGCATTTCAATCAAGTAATGTAAGTGTTTTAATGCGGCCTCGAGTTGTTTAAAAATGGGCAGCTTGGGCGCAGCAATGACTAAGGTCGAAGGAGCGTTCCACAATTGACAAATACAAAAGGAACAATAATTTCGGCGGCGTTCCAGCGGACTATGTTGAGTGGCCAGTTTATACTGGTGACCCCTTGCTTTTAGATTGCGACTTGGGTTCAGCAAGTGGAGACAAGTGTGACCGGGGTTGTTTAAGAATGTGGTCGCCCCATAGACGACGATATCTTCCGCTGTGCACTCTCAGGACTTTCATTCGTAGATGGTATGGCAGGTGGAATGATCCCTTCACCTTTTTGGTTACCTTTCGGTGGGTGGTCTCCAGTGCAACTAGCTCGCGTTTTAACCACGATTGCCCGGCCTGAATCGCGCGCTCCACGTGGGGCTTCACATACTCACTGAGCACTTGCTGCAACAGTGATCAAATGACAAGAATCGCACCGCTTATTTGCACCACCGACCAATAGTCAGTCTGCTAACATGTGTTGTCTGTGCCTCGTTTCTCATTTTAATCAGCATGACTTAACTACAGTCCGTCCGTACTCACTGCCAAATATGCTTCTGGTGTGATCTGGCTTAGTTTGTCTCGAACGTATGATAGTTTGCATGCCGCGCTACGACCGAAGTTATAGATCGTTCGACTCGTTCATGTGGTCTTTATGTGCCCATTTCTTGACGAACTGACTATCGCAGGTCTGTCATGCATACCACCAAAGGGTAGAAAGAAATTCATGGCTTCGCACGCGATTTTGCGCGCTCCAAACGCATGTGCATGCGTGCGTGCTTTTGCTGTTCAACACAAATTGCCCATTGGATAGCCGGACAAGCGTTATAGATGCTGGGGTTTCGTGTATAAGCGCCAAGTGCATCATTGAAAAGGACGAGCCATGGCTAAATTACTGGGATCGGTCCAAATATATCGGACGCATTGTACACCCGGGCAGTCGATTACAATTAGCAAGGCTCGAAGACGGACAAACGGTGCAAGTGCACATGGTTATACAAAACTGCCATATCCATGAATTCGAGAAGTTTCGATTTAAATGATGGCTCATTATGGGACATTGATGCTATTGAAGGAACATTAAAATCACCCATTATAAGATAGTGAGAGTACTTTTGTGAAACCGCATGGCGGAGGGCGTTTAACAGAACGTTATCGCTGTCGGCCGATGAGTTCGGAGGTCTATAGATAACTGCTAAGAGGCCAGCATCACTCTTCTTCTGTGTACCAACATCTCGACCTGCTAGGTGCAGTCGGCAAAATAGTGCGTCGGGAATAACAAGGGAATTTTCGGTAAGAGCCTCACATTTCAAATAATCTCGATAGTAGAGAGCAACACCGCCACCGCGAGATGGACGATCATTTTGAATGACTGACATCTTACTGAGTTCAATCTCTAGATCAAGTATGTCGTTTGAGAGCCAAGTTTCAGTAACTGCTATGAGGTCCCAAGTTGTTGTTTCATGTCGATGGCGCAGCTCCGAGAGCTTAGAATACAACCCCTGAGTGTTGGTGTAGCAGCATTGTATTTGTTGGCGCATCAGGTGCTCGGTTCGTTGTGAGTGACCGGCACAAATAGTGCCGGTCTGCTGAAGTTTTTTGAAACGGTTGTTTGCACAGTTGGCTGGTTTGAGATAGGTACAATTGAGACTGGCTCATCTGTATCTGAGGTCTGTACTAATTGAAGGAATGGTCTTAACCGTACTTCTGGTGGCCCAGTGTTCCTGTTGTCATGCCATGCTTGGATTGCCACTGATACCATTTCGGGCGCAGCCAAGGTAAATTTCAAAATTCGTGGTCCGCTACCTTGGTAGTTTGTGGAAGCAATTAGACGGGTGACGTCAAAAGCCCCGACATTCTTCATGTCGTATAGTTCTGCGATGTACCGCCATTCTTCGATGTCGTGCTTCTGTCGTTCACTGCTATCGTCATGCTTTAATTCTGGCATACCATGAACCAGTACCACTTTCTTCATCTCATTTTGACGTGACGAACTAGGGTTGGATTTCCGCTTCTGTCTTTCTGCCCATGGCCTGTCAGGAAAAATGCGGGCACTGAAAGAAGAGTTCACTAGCATGTGGCTTGCTAATCGAACATCTTCCAGGTCGCGCGTGTTGCCAAACGTTACTCGCAGTAACCGAGGTTCCGTTAAGTGTGGAGATGATGGATTTCGTGAAAGGCGTGTAAGACTAGTTGGGAGAACTTTCAGTCCGAGTGCGCAGGTTATTTCAGCCCACCGGTTTTACTCCTCGGCTTGTCTACTTTTTAGCGATTCGCTAATGGGTTCTGGGACATATTACTGTCATCGTCTTTTGGTTGCGTAGTAATTGTTTGTTCTGCAGTTCCTTGTGAGCGTAGGTTTATCGAGTGGGGTGTCTGGCTTGTCTTCCTTGGACGATAGGCCAAGGCTACAGCAATAATTTTTACGGGCAACGCCGTTAGTTGCACTATCTGTAGGGGTCAATTGTTGTTGCCCAGCTACTGACGGAGGTGATCGTGCAATTTGTGCGTAACTCTGTATGCTTTGGCGCATTACGTGAGACTTGGGATACCGTTCAAGCGGCCTGTTTTCACTGCTGTTTTTCACTAACGGTGTTTGCCTTTCGCTGGACTGGGTAGCACTTTTGCTAGCGAGCTTTTGCCTTTTAACAGGTCGGATATTCGGGCTAAGTAATGCACTAATCTGCAACTCGAGTTCTGAGATTTTCCCTCCCAATACCGCGATCAGTTCCTTTTGGTCTGCCGACGTAACAGCCAATGCTTCACACCTTGTCGTAAGCGTTTGAACAATCTTAATTTTCGGACTATCTGAACATAAGTCACAAAACCACAAGCTATCTGTCGATACGCTGTTAGCTCCGTTAAGTGTACTGTTCACATTTGTCGCGTCGTATGAATTGGCACAGAACGAACACGTGATTTTCGAGCGGATTTCAATTCCCCGCTTGTCTGAGCTACGGTTGACCTTAGGTTTGTTGCTCACTGGATTCCCGGTTGACAAACTTCGGCCTATGGATCAGTGGTCGATATGCACTTTCAGGTTGCGCTGGTCACGCCGTTTGGGCTGCCTCAGTTGTCTGTTCCGGTCAGCGGGTTTGGTGGTGGTGCGTCACTAGGCGCACGAGTAGCCAAAATCACACAGGCTTTGTGCAGTAAAATGCACGTAAAGATATGCGGGTAAGGTGAGATGACAAAAATGCTTGTATCTATGCTATATCCTGGTGCACAGTACTAAGTTATATATTGTCTGACAACCTTAAAGAAGATCTGTCGAATGGTATCCCAAAGGTACTGATGAAATTCAAATAAGCAAAGTTACTCAATTTGGCCTTGGTGAATAGACTTCCGAAGACTTTGTTTGTGGTATATCAGCGTGTCGTTGGACTTACTTCAAAAATATAGACGCCGTTGGATAGAGCTCAGTGATCCGAATCGATTGAGCATACTTCCGAAGACGTGGCACAAAAATGTGAAGGAATACGTCCAATTTAACACAGAACACAGGATTGCATGATTAGCACGTACACGCTGACAAGGTCAGACCTGGATACTTCAAATTCCCTGCGGATCTATTCTTGCAGATAAATGCACCTCATACTTTGCGATTATTTGGTTTGTGCAGCCGTGCCTCGAGCATGGTGAGGGTTTGTTGGTACTCAACAGTTAATGCCTTTCTGATTACCGATCGTCTACTTGTTCAACCCTTTTTGTCTGCATTCCGGACATTCTTTATCTCGTTTCACTAACAGTGATGGTCCTTGGTTTAAGAGTTTCCAAAATGCGCGGTACACCCAGTAGCTTTCCACTGTGGATACATTTTGACGGGTGTCTTTCCCTTCCACTGGTGGCTTAGCTAATCAGGTATTAAACTTGCACTCCACATGCTATCGGCCCGAACCAGCCTAGATGCATGCGTGCATGCAGCGAACAATGACCGCTTAGCAGTGAAGATTTTGTGCGATGTTCAGACATACTCCTAGCGCCTCCTACCTTTACCTTATGAAGGCTTTGGTCTCAATTCATCCACCACTCTCTACATTTTCTGGTACTGTGCATGTCTCTGATCACTATACAACTCGCTAAGTGGCTATATGGTCCCTTGGCACCATGTGTAGACCAGCTTATTGATTTTTAATGTTGCTTCCTTCGTTTACCCAATCAGTTTGACTGTTTTAATGACTCGTTTCCATGTCACTCCCCACTATCCATCGAACAAGACCTGAAGGGTGAAATCGATGTGATCAATCTTGATAGCAGCTGCCCGGGAACCATCCGACTGTGCACTGACGGGTTCTCTATGCGTTTCAATGACCAAGAGGTAAGTGCTTCGTCTTTCACCCACACACTTGCTTTCTCTCATGTTTTAACCACTCATTCCAACCTTTGTAACTTGTCCCACATCCGCTATGCCTTATGATTTCTCCCGACTGCTTCACAGTTTATCTGCGCGGCTTTTTCTATTTCATAACACCGCCTACTTTGTTTCCTTTTCAATACGCCAACTGGCGACAGCTCTATCACTTACTATCATCACTGTGATGCTGTCACGTGTGATTGTACTAAGAAGTATTCCGCGTCTATGCCATAAACTGTCTAGTTGAAACCAACACCCGTGTCTCAACAGCACGACCAGTGTACACCGTGGACGCTGACTGAACTGCGTCCTTGGATCATTCACTTCGATGTCACCATTGTTTAAATACTGTACGAACACGATTTTTGGCGCCCTTCTAAGTATTCTATGTCATTGTGTACTACTGACTTGATTTGTTTGCTTTTAAAACAACGCATTCAATTCGATTCCCATGGATCACTATGTCGCAGCAACTGAACCCCTAGGACCAATGATGACATCACCAGATGCTCTACAGGTACCTCAGAACTCCCTCTTTTGTTCTTAATACCTTGTGCCAATGAATCGTTTGCATATGTATGCGTTCTTTCTGCATTCTTCTAATCCTCCGGTCTAACTTCGCTGCTTTTCGTCAAAATTAAAATTTTTCTGCTTTTTACGTGGACACTTCGATTTTCGCTTTGATCTCCGGCTCACCAGTACCTAAGTTAGAGTTGCTTCTTCTCAGTTTGATAATTTCTGCATCTATTTACTTTGGCTCATAGTCTGTGACATTGACTATTTCTAAGCCATCCTCAGAGTGCAAGGTTTGTTGTAGGACTAGACCGATGCGGCACCGGTTTTCGCTATCTGTGCGCAGACACTGAAACTGGTGGGTTCTCGTCTGTCAAGCGTTCTTGTAAAAACCACATATGTCCGTTAACCAACACTGTGACGTAGCGGATGTGACTCGCCATCAAATAAAGTCATTAACCCCTGCTTCACTACTTTAGAGCATTGTAATCCAGCACCTTACTGAAATCATGCCGAGGATTGGGTCCTGTTTCGGAACCGACCAGACGAAATGCATATAAACGAAGCAATCATTCGCCGGCTTTCATTGGACGCGATTCACTATATTCTCCCCACTGCCTTTTGGCGAAGCTATTCAGCCAAAAACCCATAATTCAACTCCCTACCTCTGCTTCAACAACCGGGCAGTATCATGATCTCTGACAAAAGCGGTGCATTGTTCTCAATGCGCTAACCTGCTATTATTCCTGCTGTTTACGCTCAGGCGACTTCATCACACGCCAACTATCTATTTGCTAACAATCCTTTTTATTCGTTACCGGATTCCTGTTTTCATGTGCCTGCTTGCGATTCTTGTTGCCCTGCGAACCATGAAGTTCAACCTGCGGTCCTCCTTCGACCCCGATCTTCGTTCCATCTGACATTCTACAACTTACGGACACTAATGCAGATTAGACAGTAACCCGATCTAGCATGCATCTTGGAGTCCCTCGTTGTTGACCTCTGTGGCGTTTCTGAAACCCGATTGTAGAACCTCAGTAATGCGCTCACTTTGACACCCCTCACTAACCACGAACCCACTTCTCATCTGCTTCTTTCTAAATACCTAGCAACAACAACTGGTTTGACTGGTGTTGGTATGGCAATACATAGTAAGGCTGAGGCCGAACTGCTGCCCTGGTTCCCAATTAATAGCGACTGTGTGTAGTTATGCTTCGCGGTTTTTGTAAAATCAACAATCGCAGCGAGGAGAAACGCGACTTTTTTATTATCTCCGCATACGCTCCAACTGACTGCATTAGTGGCTCGGTCAAGCACAACTTTTATCTGGAGCTTCATTAGCTTGCCGCTTCTTCTCTGCATCTATGAGGTCTTTCTCTCGCACTTCGGCAATTGCCTTCGTGATCAGCTCGCGCCATGCACGCCGATCAACCGCATTCAATTCCCATGACCTGCAATCAAGTGTAGAACGTGAGAGGCTCACTTTAATCATGTCCTGGTATCGTAACTTTGGTTTCCCCACGTGCCGCTTCCCAATACTCAGCTGACCATATAATAGCTGCTTCGGTATCCGCGTCGAATCCATAAGGCCTACATGACCGAGCCACCTCAGGTGTTCACTACATACATTCCACTTCGGCGTAACACTTCCGTGTCGGCAACTCTGTCGCACCAACCGATGCGCAGAATCCGTCGCAAACACTGTTGTTGGGACCGCTTGAGATATCGCACATCCCGACGGTACATCGTCCACGTTTCACTGCCGTATAAAAGAACGGACAGCACCATGCATTTGTACACTATCAGCTTCGTGCCAACGGTAAGCTGATGGTTGTTCCACACTCGGTACTCAAGCTTCCCGAATGCCGCTGCTGCCTCCTAGACGGGGATACGCAGCTCACTGTGAATCTGCTGATCAGTCGACATCACACTCCCAAGGTAGGAGAAGAGGGAGGTGGTTTCTAATACTTCAGCACCAATACTGATTTGCAGCAATATTGAAGATTGCAGCTCCGGTGAAGACTGAAACAGACAGTTTTGCTTGTACTGATGGTGAGTCTGAATTTGGCCGCTGTCGAAGCCAGAGTACTAGTCATGTGCTGCAACTTATCCGCGCTGTGTGCAAACACTACACAGTCGTCAGCAAACAGCAACATACGGATAGTTGTCTCACAGACTATGGTTATCGCACCGAAACGACGAATGTTCATCAATCCACCATCAATACGGTGCTCCACACGAGCACCGTAAGCACAAGCGGCATCAAAAGCACAAGACGTCATTGCATGAAGATAAATATTAAACAGGACATGAGCTAAGACTCAGCCTTGCTTCACACCAGTGACAACCGCAAAGTCATCCGAGGTCTCTCCACTCAGCTACACTCTCGCCCGCATACCAGTGTGCAGGCATTCAATTAAATTTGCAAAATTACGCGGGCAACCAAACTTATTTAACGCCAGCCACAGTGCCTCGAGGTTCACCGTATCAAATGCTATGGTGAAGTCAACAAACACCGAGTACAATGATTGGTGTTGTTCTCTGCACTTCTGCTGCAACTGACGAGCCGAAAGCACTATATCTATATTGCTACCACCCGAGCGGAGTCCACACTGCAACGTTAGGTTCCACAGTCTGCCTGACGAGGCGGTTGAGCAGGATTCGGGCAATCATCTTGCGCACACAACTAAGCACGTTGAGGCCACGACAATTCCTGTAACATAGCTTGCACCCTTTTTCCTTGTACAGTGGTAGCACAAGGGCATCCTTCAACTCAGCAGGCACGTCCTCCTCAATCTGCACGCATTACATCGACTGGTGCAACGCAGTCACCAAGGCGGGTCCGCCGGGTTTCAATACTTTAGGCGGGATGCCGTCGGCACTTGCACACTTGCCGTTTCGCAACTGGGCGAGTGCAATCTGCATCTCAGCTAGTGTCGGCGTTGTCGCCGGACTCGCTTTCACATCGTGCTGCTTCAGGCCGTTCAAAGTAAGCCAGGTAATCTCTGAACGGTTGTTCAAGAGATAGTCAAAATGTTTTTGCCGGATCTGCAGTCTGTGTGCAGGCAGCGCCAGAACTGCCATCCATCAGCGTCCTCAACGGCTCCAACCTCATTCCATACACCGCCTTCAAGGAGTCAAAGAATTCCTTTTGTTGGCGACGTTCGGCGTAGCATTCCATCTGCTTCGCCTTCTCTGTTCACCATGCATTTTTATGCGACGGAGGTCGCAGGTCAGTCGCTGTTGGTTTGTGCGAAACTGACTCTGGGGTCTACTACATTTGCAGTAAATGTTGCGTTCTTGTCACACACACACACACACACACACACCAATGCGTTCCCATCAAACCAATCAGGCCGCTTACATTTTGCGCGCGGTTTTCTCTTCGGCAGCAGTTGTCACCTGGTCGCGAATGTGGTGCCATAGGTCGCCCATTGTGGCTATGCATTGCACGTCACACAGACGTGCAGCTATCGCCTTCTCCAGCTCAATACGTGCCTCCACATTATCGATGGAGGGAATGTTATGTTTACGCCGGTTCACTGCGGGAGTGCAATGCATACAATTACGAAAAGATATGTGCAGTTTGGTCCGCACCAATTTGTCAGCAGCTCCACGCAGTATACGTGACGTGCGCACTTCACGCATATCACTCTGACCTACGATGACATAGTAAGCGGGTGAGCGTGACCACTCCGTCAGTGCGTCCAAGTTGCTATATCACCTGCACTCAGTGCAAACCGAGTGTTCGTGATCTTCAGGCCGTGAGGGGCACACAGTGAGAGCAGTCTGTCACCGTTCGCGTTCGCTGAACCAATGCCATTTGAACCGATAACATCTGTCCACACCGATGCATCACGCCCAACGCGCGTTGGAATCACCCAGCAGAAATAGTCGGTCAGTCGGTCCTCGGCACAGACCGTATCACGGAGGATAGTTGAGTGTGCGTGATATCAGGATAATACGTGGTCGGACCGTACTGCTTATAAAGGTGGCAAACTTACCTCTTCCGAATCGTATGCGAACAGTCATCAGTCGCGCACTGATGCCTGTTGATTCACCCACCAGCTGGCCATGGACCCGATCGGATATTGTAAATCCGACCCGATGATCACGTGATACTGAGGCGGGGTTACCCACCCAGCAGAATATGTTGCCAGCACCTGCTTCATGCAATTTACCTTTCTCAGCGAGCCGGGCTACACGGAGCGCCCCAATATCGATGTGGTAGCGCACCAGTTCCATCGCGACCAGTGTTGTGCGTCGCTCGGGGCGCTCACTTGAGTTCCGGTCCAGTAGTGTCCGCACGTTCCAGCACCCGGTGTTGAGTGCTTTGCGCGCAGGCATACGATTGCATTGGTAAGCAGTCGCACGCACGGTGGCGGTTGTACTTTGGAGATTTGCTTGAGGGACTCCACCCGGTGCCTTTGGCTCTCTCGCTCTCTCTCTTTCTCTGTATATATATATATATATATATATATATATATATATATACATATATATATATATATATTTATATATATATATATGAGAGAGAGAGAGAATAGTGAATCAGTTCACTTGCCTTAGCAACTGGGTCAACTGTACTGGTCACATCTTTGTGGAGGTCACTTCTCGTATCTTTAAGGGTGTGTGGCTTTTCAGAGGCTCAAATATATATGATGACGACGGGACATCAACGTTTCCATAAAACTAGTTTAACGCTGCCATAATGCCGGTCTTACTGTGTGGATCAGAGACCTGGCCATTTTGCAGTGAAGACATTAAAGGTTTGGCCGTGTTTGCGGAGTTGTTGATCGCGTGTGTTGGGAACACAAAGTGAGCAATGCTAAGGTTTGCCGGTGTGTTCTTAGAAAGAAGTCTTCTGGTGTCTCACTCGAGTGTTTGCCGAATCTTGGCTAGATCATTTCCTCCGTATGTCCCTTGACCGGCTTCCTCAGCCTGCATTATACGCCGTCGCTGCATCAAGTTGGGCGAAACAGCAAGGTGACCAGTCAGTGAGGTGGCCTGGAGAAATAGACTGAGAGACTCGAACAAATTAGTGCGGGACGTCTTTGTGGATGGGTCCCTGGGATGACCCAAAGCAGTGGTTGGAGACTATCAGACATGGTGCTGTCAGTGACTTTCCTGTATTCGTTTTCTTGCATCTAGCCGTTAGTTTTGCATGCCGATTAGTTTTGTGCCCTTCTATCTTATTCCCATTTTCTTTGTATTATATGTGTATTCAACCTCGTTTTCTTACCAATGTTATTTATTATTCTGATTATCGGGGACTGTTAGGGAAAGTTGAATAGTATAGGTAGCAATTCATCACATCTAGATTCAGTCAGACAGCCCTCACACGCCTGGCAAAACATTTCACGGCCGTTTCACTCTTTCGGAAGTCGTCAGCAGTGCGCATTCCATCTGGCTCTTGTATGGCTCAAACTCGTTACTCGACCGTTGCCAATCCGTGTACGGGAGCACCGTGCTACTGGAGATGGCAGCGACCGTTGTGACTGTTACTAGATATGATATGGCGCCGCTCACTATCCACTGACTTGCACGTTACTAACCTTCGGAGGACAGTCTCCTCACCAAGTGACGCTGTATCACCTCAAGTCACTTAGTCACGACGGTCATTGCCGTCCCCCGTAGTTCAGTGATCTCAACCACAGATTGGAAACAGTCGAATTTCGGGTTCGTGCGCCGTATGGATCAGATGGAATGCGCACTGCTGACGATTCCCGAAAGGATGAACCAACTGTACACTTTCGTATTCTGACAACTGAATCCACTGCACTTCAGTGTCTGGAGTATAGTCGTTCAACTGAACTGAGGATCAGAGCGTTTGTAAGCTTTCACCTATTCTACCTACTTTTCCGCTTTTGCGTTCTTACTGCTTGTTGCTCAACTTGTCAAACTGCTTCTTACGGGGCAATGTTTTCGGGTGGGCAAAATGCCAATAGCTATCAAATTCCTCTGTTCGATCCCAATGGTAGAATTTACTAAGATCCAGTGCGTCACAAGCCATTCGTCGAATGGGTTTTTCATGATGACCCTCTAATCCATGGGTTTTTTTCATATATTCCTATTGACACGTGGCTAGTATACACATTCGTGCTTATTGTCTTTATAGTTTGCCACCGACTGATTTGGCCATTACTGCTTGATCACTGAGGAAGCCCTCTTCGCCTGCCAGTTCCCACTTATTCTGGTGTCTGCGGCTGACGCCAAATTCGTATGGAAGCGCATTTCGAGTTCGGTTGCCTTTCACTTTATCTTCACTTTGAAGACCATTTTCGCTATCTATAGGTTTCTCGAGTACCTGTCTTACCTTCTTTCTTATTTGCAGAATTTAATTCCGGTTCCCTGCATAAAGCGCTGCAGCACCCCACAGCATGATTTATTCATGATTGAGTACTTCGGTAAGCGGTATAATCTGTGCTGAATATAGTACTGATTGAGAACTTCATGACTTTGCAAGTGGGGATCGGGGAGTTTATTTTTACTCACCGCCCCCATTCACGATGCCTACTCTACATCCATTGTCAATTGCATCACCTTTGAATACTTCTTCGCGTACGCGACAAACGGATGTTCTCATATTTTAACACATTAGAGCACAGAAAACGCTTCTGTTCAATGCACCTTTTCCTTACATACTTTCTTCATTTGTATCACACTTTGTAATCCACTGTGAAATCGCTTCAGTTTCGTACGCTTCACTCTGTTTCCGATGGACGGCTAACAGTTTCCGAACGCGTTACGTCCCAATTTGCCCATCTGCATTGGAATGTAGTAGATTCACCGTACCTTTCTGGATCACTTTATGCGCTCTTTATATTGTTCACTCTTATCCACAGACTCACATGAAAAGCGCCTACAAACATTGAGGCTGCAGACTGATGTGGTACGTTGCTGGTCAATGTTCCATCCGCGTTTCGCTGATACACCTCTCTGCGGGATACTTTTCAACTGGAATATTAGTCTGACTTTTAGCTGTAACGTAGCGATGCCACTCAGTGATATTTTTAGCCACATGTACGCAATATACTCATATTTCCTTTCTTTTATGTCCCATGGTTGACTGTCTCTGTGTATTCAAGGCCTTGCCATTGTTGAACTTTTGGCAGTGACTATTGCCGTCTTTCGATAACACCCGAAAGTTGTGTATCATCACATACCTCCACAACTCATGCATCATACTTCACAGGTAGCTTGGTAGCAATACCTTTTTTGTGGTAGTCAGTGCGTGGCAACTATACCCTCTTTGCCTGGTTCTCTGAATGTGTTTTTTAGCCTTGCTTTTTCGTCTCACTCGAAATTCGCTTCTTCGTTTTAGGCTACTAACTTACTGTACCACTTTCATGTCCTGATCGCCGACTTCTCCACTAGACTATTGACCTCTCAAGCCTCCCGATCGTCTCGCGTGTCTTCTATCACCTCCAAGCATCCGTCTACTTGCTCTATGTCGTGTTTGAGCGACGACGCCAACTGAAGCTTCGGACTCCAATCTCCTCGTGATTCTTTTGCAGCCTGACATACCGGCACCCATGAGCCTTCCACTCACACTGCTATCAGACTCTGTCAGACTCTTTGTTTTTTCGGACCTTTGGTGGAGATGTTGAGTTGTGCTTTCTCATCCCTATTTCTCCTTCTCTTGTTGTCATTTACATCAATCCTCACTTCGCAGTACGTCTTACTTGACTCTAGTAATGTCCATTTCCTATCTGGGTATGCTTTCGTTATTTTTCTGATCGCCTACATTTTCTTAACGCCGTCCTGACTAGTAACTTTTGCTCAATGTGTGTCTTCTGTTTGTGCCTGTCACACGTACGCATAAACGTCTGTATGCTTCCCAACCATTCCCGTTCACCCTCTCAGAATCGCGTCCGTCACCTGTAATTTTTGTCCACGGTAGCCCTTCTTTTGGCGTCTGCCAAGTCTTTCGTATACATTCCTCTTTGTTATCTGACATTGGACTTTGTGTTGTGTCACAACTGCATTGTACAAACAGCAATTGGCCAACTTATCTTCCACCGAGCCTCATGGTCTTCTTAGTCAAACACCTTCCTTTTCACTACCGATTACTCAGTATACAAACGAATGCTCTTCTGCCGCCTCACCTTTGACTTATGCTTGAGTTCACTGGATCTACACTGCGTTCCCCTGTGGGAAGACCCGATGGAATTCGATCATGCAGTTTACACATGTGTATCTCCGTTTCACTCCCTCAGCTTTGTTGGGAATGCTTGTGGTAATCAAAACACCAGCATTTCACTTACGCCAGCCGATTGCAGTCACATATCTCTCCGAAATCATGGTTGATGGCAACTCGCACGTGCATATCTGCACGACCGGAGGACGTACTTATCTTTCACAAACAGAGCAGTTAATGCGTTGCAACATACTTACCGCACCATCGATGCCGAGCGATCAATTGCTACGGTCTCATGACATTGTGGTCACTTGCAAGCGGCCACAGTTGTCGGTCGCCCGTAGCTGTGTCGTTCCTTATCAGTCTTTCACACTAACAAAAATAGCAGCAGTCCACCAGTCCTTTGAACTGATGCTTTGTTGCCTTAGAACCACGGTGGCGTACGGGAGAGACTGGAGACCTAGCGTAAAACCCTAATACCCTAAACAAACATTCAAGGTCAAGGCGCCTACGTCTTGTGTCAACAAGCTACCATCACAAAGAGCTGGCTATCGTGCAAAGGCGGCATCGGCGAGACAGTTTACTTACGACTTTCACTGCCCCGCGTCACAATCAGCCATTTCACCGCAGATAACACAGCACCAAACAGGCAGTCCGACTGGGAGACGGCAGCAGACGCGCCACCGGTGTCAATTATGATCTTTCTCCTCTAACGTCTCGAGGTAGCACAAGATGGGTCACGTGTACTCCGGCCTGGAAAATGTGACAGACCAACGGCACACAGTTTGGTGGTCAGTGACTTCATTTCCGTCCACTTCGAGTCTTGCGCTACCCCACATCTGGCTAACAAAACAAGGCCCTCGGTTAGCGGTGACCAGGCCTACGTAGTACGTGTCCAAGCCAACGCAACTTATTCAGTGCTATCTGTTGTTTTGAAGAAGTGGCATGATTATCACTGCCTAACACTCTCCTACGCAATTCATTGTTACAGACACGCTGGTGACACCTAACACCAATAATGCTCCGCAGACAAAGATGATCAAAGGCTTGAATACGCCTCAGACCGAAGGGGCCAAGTCTCACTCCAATAGAGTACGACGGCCCTCACTGTGGCCATGTAAACACGGCCTTCCAAACGGAAGGAAATTCCTATCTGTCGCCAAAGATGTAGCAGATTCAAGAAGACAGCTCTTGCTTTTGCAATACGTGAACTCACCTCAGTGCTTATGCGCCCATCGTTGCTTCTGCAGTTGCCGATTAGTGATTTGATCAACTCCCTCGAGTCCCTCAGTATCCAAAGTCAAGGGGTCATCAAGTGGCTGTTGGTCTTGTAACAACACTGCACTTCGAAAGTGTCAAGCGCATGTAAAATGATGGGACCACTCTACAGATGTTATTCAGGGTTGATTCGGCCACTCCAATATCGTTAAAAAGCAAGACAATATCTCCCCAGGCAGCACCTCATTGCTTGCACCGTGATTCCGCAAGGGGATATCCCATGATTGGTAAATTTGACAATCCTGACGTAAGGCACTTGTTGTCGGAAATGTATTTTATGAGTCACCGTAGACTCTGACGCAGCTTGTGGTGTTCGAGTACATGGCACGTAAAATGTTCACATATTTCATGGGAACACTTCTGCACAAGCATCTCAAACAGAATTGACATATCGACTGAATCGAACGCACTTACGCAGTCGAGGAACCCAGCTATTGTCGGTCTGCGGTACGTGTGGCGCTGCTCTAGCTCCTGCCACAAAGTGAATATGTGGTCTATAAAGCCCGTTCTGGGTGGAAACTTGCCTGCTCTTCTCTAATCCGGTATTCCCCTTCCGCATTGAGACAACGAACAGAGTTGGGGCCAGTAGTTTTGTCACAACTGGCGTTCGTCGAATACCCCTGTGATTAACACAATCTGTGCGACTGCGCTTCCTGTATATTGCCACTAAAATCGATTCACTCCGGTTAGCCGCGATGATCCCTTCCTTTCAGACCTGTCCGAGCACGGAGGTCAATGCTTTGCAGGAAATGTGATCTAGCAGCACGAAAACGATTAAGGACTGTGATCGCGTTTCGGACTTCAGCCAGCGATGGAGCCTCTAAACTATCCGTCCATGGCTCATCCTGCGTCACCTGAGTAGGAAGAAGTCCAGATGCAGGGAGCCAACTGAACTGATCTTGAAAGTGTTCCGTCCAACGAGCCATACGGCGCTCCCTATCCTAAGTTAAGGTACCCGCGCTGCCTCTGATAGTTTCACTGACGCCTGCTTTTTCGAGATCATTGGTGCGGATCAGCTGGAAACGTTTGCGATAATTGTCCACTGCATTTCTTGAACCCTACATTCTACCAGGCTTCCTTGTCAGTACGCTTTAGTTCGCGCCTTAGAGTCCGTCTGGTCACATTGTGTTCAGAGCCAGCTGGGAGATTTCTTCTAGATTCCAACAGGTCCACTGACCTCTCGGATCTCTGGTGCGGTGACGATTGATAGTACCACAAACAGATGCTCCTACATCGTGCATGGCGACCGAGATCCTATTCCATTGAAGCTCTGTGTCATTATGACAAAAGAGCGAATGTTCTGTACTCACTTTATCTTGGTAGGCTTGCCTGATCAAAGGCTGATAATTTTCAGCTGTCAATCGAAAGATGCGCTTGGTGTGCCTCCCGGTTATGCTCATGGAAAAACGGCAGTGTACCAAAGTATGATCAGAGTCGACGTAGGTGTTCCAGAACGAAGGACAGTCCTGTATGGAACTACGCCACCTGTAATTTATGGCAACGTTATCCCCTTGGGTCCATCGCTGGCCAACTACAGCGGGACGCCACGTCGCACTTCGGCAGTCACTATGCTTAAAAGCGATGCTATTGAGAAACAGTCGGCGCTCTGCACACGGCAATAATAGTCGCTCGCCGTTGTCCATCCGGTCGGAGTTAAGTTCATAATTATCACCTAGCTGAGCTTCTGAGGAGCCTAGATAACTTACTTGTGCAATCTTATTCCCTACAAGGATTACGATATCTGAACTGGTAGCATTGCGTAGTAGCGTGTTCAGTTCGTGGTAGCATGTCCTTGGCAGCATCAGAACTGCAGTCGGTGGGAGCGTAAGCGGAAACCACAAACAAATAGCGTCTTGTATTACTTCATGAATCAACCTTAGTTGATGCTGTCAAAGGGGCTGCACGAAAACCGTTGTTCACCGGAATCCAATCAACCAACAATGACTCAGTCTTAGTACTGAGAACCGTGCCTACCCAAACTTGACCCGGGAGTGCTGCATCAACGTCTCCCAATGCATGCAACCAATAACGAGAGGCTAAGCCTGGTGCAGTTAGTTCAACAACGTCGTGAGCGTCACTGATCCTAGTTTCGGACACACAGCATACCTCAATATCCAGTGTGTCTAACGTGCGCGCGAGTACAGCCTACTGACTTATTTGTCCTAGAGTACGAACCTTGAACGCCGCCATGGAAACGGATTGTCTGGTTTTATAAGGGACTGTTACTGATGCTTGTGCGGTGCGTGGAGCGGTAAGGTAGCTGCATATGGTGTGCCACCCGTGGCATTGCGGCTGTTGTCAATTTAGCTGGGAATTATGGAATGAAGGTTAGTATTGGGGTTTGAGAGGGGAGGAAAAGACACAGGTGAAAAAAGAAAAGGAGGGAGCGCCAGTAGTAACCTGTTATCGCTAGTGTTCGCTTGGCAACGAAACGTCGATAATTTGTACTGTCTTACTGCTTCTTCTTGCTTTGCCTATCGATTAATAGCACTTGTGGTTGTGTTCTCTTTTTGCTATCTCTATTTTGTTTCTGCGTATCTCGTCCTTGTTTCTTCCTGTTTGTCCATGGGTTGTTAGCAGCTTCACACCCTACAAGGGAAAGCTACATGGTACTATGATATCTTATTTCGGACTTGGTCAACTCTAGCTGGATGACACGTACCAAGCCGGTTTATCGTTCGCGCTTTTCTTTTCTGTTGATTTCTTTGGAAACATCCACTTATTGCGACACAGAATCGTGTAAGAATGTAGCGCTCATAGTATATAGTCATCGGAACGCACCAATAAGCGACACTTCGTCATACAACTAGTCGTGGTAGCGTGCACTGCCATCTTATTGCTTTGAGTTGCTGCACAATAGCTGAAGTCTTACCTACGTCCAGCTAACGAGTTCAATCATGTTAATGATCCAACGCACTCGTTTCTGTCAGCCGTGGACGATAACTTAGGTGCACACCTTTCATGTGGTATCCTGAGTACCATTAATAACAACCTGTTTACATTGCTGACATTGCATGCGGCCGGACATTCACTCTCTACTTTAAGCTTGTCCGGGCGCACCGCATGTTATTTATATTTATGCATGTCTGTTGTTAATTATAAGCCTGTACCAGTCTATATGTTTCTAAAGACACTGAGATTGTAACTACTATCCTTTAGGCACTTGTTTGAGGCGACCGCGTAGTGTTTCCAATTTCCATACATAAACGCCTGCGCAAACCATTAAACGATATCTATCTGCAACCAGTCGAATACAGCACAGGCTGGATTCGGCTATATCGTGGGAGCTGGAATTGGACATTTTCCGATCTCTATTTCACATGTTGTACTGGATGATATGTGTGTTGCGATTAAGCATTGTGTGTTGACGGCCTACCCTCGACTTGAGGCACGTGAACAAACGCAAACGATACTAAGTATACGATCTTACTGAACACAAATAGCAGGCAGAGTTGAGCAGAGTGACATTCCTATTGCGTTGCAACTTATGCTCGGTAGTCTACCGACAATGAAGTTATCACAACGTACGTTCTTTTATGAAGATGGCTGAACATAATTCTACTACGACATACAAATGAAGCGACGGTTTTGCCGAGACACTCATGGGTAG